TTTAAATTGATTCTTTTATATTGTGATTCCCTCCGCGTTTAATACAAATCATAATTTGTAAATAAAAAAAATATAATTTTTTATATCAATTTAATAAATAAATCAAATTATTTTATAAGTTAATTTATATTTTAAAGTTATTAGGTACATTAATTATCTGCAATATCTTTTAATTAATGCATTTTTACCTGCAATTTCATCTGTGATTATTTTGTTCCGAAAGAAACTTTTTCAATTATAAACATACGCTTTCAAAATATATGAGAAAAAATCTTTCCGAAAAAATAGCAAATTGAACTTAGATGAAGTGCATAAGAAACACATGAGGTGAATTGATAAATTCTCAAAATAATATTCACTAATACACCAAAAAGAATTTAATTTGTATAGACTTTAAATGGTTTATTGATTTTCAAATTTAAGTAAATGTTGGTAAAAAAACCATTGAAATGAAACATAAATGTTGCCTCCACGTGTACTTGCCTCCATGTGTACTAGTTAGCAATTGAATGTTGTTTTTTCTAGGTGGACAAATCAATATGAGAAATTTTTACCCACATAATTAAATTTCCCTATTTTATATTTCAAATTACTCAACTTTTTAATATATTTTCTAATCTATTCATATTTAAAATAAAAAAATAAAAAAAATAATAGAAACGTAGTTGGCTTTGGAATCACCTTTATAATTATAAAGGGATGTCATCTCTTATGGAGTCACCTTTAAAAAATACAAGGGGGGCGACATCTCCTATGGAGTCATCCTTAAATGATTATTTTTAAATAATATTTAATAAATAATTTATTGAATAATTATTATTAAATAATATTTAACAATTAAATTATATTTAAATAATATTTAATAACTAATATATTAAAAAAATATAATTAAATAATAATTAATAATTAAATAATATTTAATAAATAATATAGTAAATAATAAATAACAATTTTATTTAATAACAAATGAGTACATAGGGGAAAGATGGTACACTAATTTCTAGGACTAGGTCGAGGTAATTGTCCGCATGTACAACATCCTCTAGTACGTACGTTTCTTGGTAGTCTTTGTGGTGGCGTCGGGTCCAATGGGTCATCTTCAAGAAATTGGATCATTTGGGCCCATGAAGATGAGTCGATCTTCGCAAAGTCATCCAAATTAACGGGGTTGCACATGCCTGCATAATTTTGTTGGGGTGGTTGGCTCAAGGAGACATCAGTGTCAGGACGATAGTCTGCCTGGTCGTAAGGTGACATCAGTGTAAATGTTTGGGTGGGTAAGGGTTGATTGGGTGTTTGACATTCCGTGTTAAATTGGTTTGTAGTATCATAAGAGTATGTTTGGTATGGTGGTGGATATTGTTGGTATTGAGACTGAGAATAACTTTGTGTGAATGGGGTGAATTGTAAGGGGGTATGTTCACGGAGTTGTGGTTGCGTGAGTGGGGGTTGGGTTGGCTGTTGGGAATGGGGATGGGGATGGGTCGGCTGTTGGGTTCTTGATGATGATGCTTGTTGGTATGGGTCAACAAGATATCTAGGATGAGAAATGAAATCAATGGATACCGACCTATACCAATTCATGTACTGAATAAACGATTTTCTCTCGTATGACAACACAATATCAGACAAAATAAAATGGTAGCGATGCTTCCATTCACGACACTCATGTTTTGCAAAGTTGGTCCATGGAGAATAGTCTCATTGGTCGGAGACTTTACTTGTGTGATACTTCTCGGGGATGCACTTTGGTGGACATGGAATATCTTGTAGCATTCCAAACTGAAGCTTGACACGACCACTGTTGTGCATTTTCACTGTGGTGAAGTTGATAATTAGCACCTTTGCACTCCACACTGTAGAGTCGTGTTTGTTAACTTCATGAATGACTTCTAGACCAAGATATGGCCGCCAAATAAACTGTTGGAGAAAAAAAAATAATATTTAGTATTTTGAAATAATATTTAATATGACTCTATTCCAAATAGGTAGGTCAGTGATGGTACATCATCTTCACCCAAATGATCAAGAAGATTTTGCTACTGGGTGATACTGTAATGGGGACAGTTGTCATATTTCATCCCAAGTGAAGACCACTTACAAATCAAAAAGAAAACATTTGTTAATAATAGGATAAATTAAGTAAGAGAATATGAAAATTTCAAAGAATTGGTCTAAGAAATTACCTTGTAGCGTATGGTAATCCGAAATTATTATGTTGGATAGGTGCTAGATCGGTCATTCTTGACCAACCCCAAGCTTGAAGAAAAACACCACATCCGGTAAAATTTCCCGAATTTACTGTTGCGTTGTTACACAAAAACCGATATAGGTGTGATAGTGTGGCGGACCCCCAACTATATGTTTTTATTTTATCTATGTCATCTAATAAAACTAAATACATAAGATGAATAGTGTTACCACTTGCATCTGGACATAAAAATAAACCTATTATTAACATAATATAAATTCTATTTTTTCTGATTTTCAATATTTCTGGAGAGTCTACGGTTAACGTTATTTCTCTATAAAGTTTTCTGAGGTATGATAATAATAGTTTTTGGCCCCTCAAATCTCATGGGGTTGGTTCGACCCCTAAAAGTTCTTCTATCATACTACCACGAGGATTGGTGAGACCGTTTACCACTTTACCATTAATAAGTAAACCCAATAACATGTAAGTGTCTTCGAGAGTAACAACACATTCACCTGTTGGAAGATGAAATGTATGTGTCTCGGGTCGCCACCTTTCTTGAAACGCTAAAATGAAATTTGTATCCAGGATATAATTTTGTATTTTGATTACTTCTCCAAATCCCGCGCGCTTTATATATGGTTGAATTATCTCGTCATGTGGGAAATGTTTATGCCCACGAGTTCGGAAGTCATGAGTATTCTAACAAAAAAGAAATAGTGAGCTACAAATCATTACAACACTGTGATTATAACGAAAATAGTGAGCTACAAATACTTACAAAAGAAGCAATGTTGTTTGGTGTTCCTCTATGCTTCTCGCCCAATGTTAACAAAGACATTTTTCTACATACTATATAGTATGATTATAAGAACAAAATATTGGAGATGATATATTGTTGGATATAATTGATGATTTTGACAATGAAGTCTCCTATGTATTTATAGTAAAAAAAAAGTTAAATTTGTGGTAGATAGATAAATTAAAATGTTGGAGATGATATATTGATTGTCAAGCAGAAAAATAAATGAGTTAGATGAAGTTTGTAGCAAAATTGTTACACTGGGCAGATTGCATGCATGCAACATTAAATTTTCGTACACATTACTAGGGAGACTCTATAGTCAACGACGGCACAACTTTAATGCGTGAAGAGGGACTCCATACCCTATGGTGCCTCCATTATAATTTAATGAAGGGATTCCATACCTTATGGCGCCTCCATTATAATTTAATGAAGGGACTTCATACCCTATGACGCCTCCCTTGTAAGATTTAATAATATCTTATTCTAGTACGTTTATTATATATATAAGTATACATTGAAGACGGTAAATATCATCTAAACTACATTTTATTACCCGCAAATATGTCTAGAACAACAAGTTATATTGTTCATGCTCATTTTAACAGAGACACATACTTCTCTGAAAGTTCCGGTTTTAGGTTTCAAAATACTGATGTTACCCGATTAACAATAAGCAGAAAATCAATGTTTTTGCATTTCAAAGAGCAAATAGAGTCAAAGATTTTGTCTGGTCCAATCTCTCAAATCATATATAGAAGTCCTGTTTTTTTTTTTTTAAATCAGGTCAAGTATTTTCAACAGAATATACAGGACGATAACGATGTTCAACACATGTTTGATAGTCATGAACACTTTGGGTTCTACTATATCGAGTTGTATCTATTACTCTGTCAGACTCAACAATCTCAAATGTTTGGTGAATCTCAGGTAATTGATCAGTCACAGTCATTGTAACAAGATGAAGTTGATGCAGTTAACGAGGAGGAAGAAGAATCTGAGGTCGTGGTTTATCAAATGATGAAATTGTTTGGGACTGGGAACTACACCGTAATAACTCCACTTGAAGACATAGATGAAGAGGCATTACCATTAAGTTATATCTATTATCCTCCACAACACATGACTAACTTGCAATTGAGTGGAGATGAGCCTTCCTCATATTTGTTCTACAATCCTTCTCAACAAATCGAAGGTGTCTTGAAAGTGGGGAACCAGTACCGCACAAAAGCAGAGTGCATGAAAGCTATAATAAAGTTTCACATGGATAACTTTGTTGATTTTGAAGTAAACCTTAATGACTCAAAACACTATGTCATAGTTTGTCGTAACGAACTTTGCAAGTTTCAATTAGCAGCGTTCTATCGGAAGAGAAGTGATTATTGGGAGATATGTTCGATGGATCCATCTCATAGTTGCACAACCAACATCAATCGACAATATCATGGTAAACTAAGCTCCCAATTAATATTCCAAGAGATTTTTCATCTTGTGAGCGTAGACCCATCTGTGAAGGTGAGCACAATCATCTCTCATGTTGTTGCACGGTTCAACTATACCCCACCGTACAAGAAAGCTTGGATTGCAAAAATAAAAGCGGTTGAACATGTATATGGGAATTGGGAAAAATCTTACAATCAACTTCCACAGTATTTGCTAGCACTTCAAAAATATGTTCCTGGTACGGTTGTAATATTTGAATCACTTCCAGTATACACTCCTGAAGCAACATGTGTTAATGGAAGTAGGATATTCTCTCGTCTCTTTTGGGAATTTCAACCGTGTATAAAAGGTTTTGCATTCTGAAAACCGGTTATTTAAGTCGATGGAACATGGTTGTATGGAAAATACAAAGGAACATTGCTGATGGCGGTTGCACAAGACAGAAATAATAATATATTTCTGATTGCCTTTGCTCTGGTCGAGGGTGAGACAGGTGAAGCTTGGAGTTTCTTCCTCAGAAATCTCAGAACACATGTCGCTCCTTAACCTAACTTATGTATGATTTTCGATAAACATGCCTCTATTGTGAGCGCTTACAAGAATCCTACTAATGGTTGGCACAATCCTCCTTCTGTCCATGTCTACTGCATAAGACACATTGCTCAGAATTTTATACGGGAAATCAAAGACAGAAATCTCCTTAAAAAAGTTGTGAATGTTGGGAATTCCTTAAACCAACCATCGTTCATGTATTACCGCGAAGAAATAAGATTGCCAAACACAGAAACATTAAGCTGGGTGGATAGCATTCCTGTCGAGAAATGGACAAAGGCTTTTGATGGAGGATGCCGATGGGGTCACATGACCACAAACCTTGTGGAATCCCTAAACGACATATTTAAGGGAACTAGAAACCTCCATATCACCGCGTTGGTAAGAGCAACCTATTATAGATTGGGGTCACTTTTTGCGGCAAGAGGAAAAAAATGGAGCGTTGTTTTGGAATCAGGGCAATTATTCAGCGAAACATGTATGAAATATATGAAGGATGAAACTGTTAAGGCGGTCTCACATCGAGTTAGCGCATTTGATCATCATTATTACAATTTCATTATTGATGAAACAAAGGATCACAATGAGGGTCAGTCAATGGGACACTACAAGGTGGAAATTCATAAAATTTGGTGCGAATGTGGAAAGTTTCAAACCTTCTGCATGCCTTGTTCACATGTCATTGCCGCATGTTCCAATGTTCGTCAGGATCTATTCTTGCAACTATCAAAAGTTTACAAGGTCATGAACTTACTCGGTATCTACAATAATAGTTTTCTAGTGGTAGCTAGTGAGGACTATTGGCCAACCTATCATGGGGACACAATTTACCACAACGAAAATACGAGAAGAAACAAAAAAGGTCGCCCCAAAAGCAAGCGAATTAGAACTGAAATGGATATAAATGAGAAAATAGAAAGATTGTGTGGAATATGTTGTCTTCCCGGGCATACGAGGAAACATTGTCCAAATGTTGGAACAAGTTCTAGATAGATTTACTTTGGTCATTAAAAAATGTGTAACCTTGGAATTTAATATTTATAGCAACTTTTGTTTACCACAAAACAAATTGAAATACTTCTAAAGCAACAACACGAATCATTAAAAATATAAGGATTATTACAATATAAACTAAGATATAACAACAATCAAAGTAATATCATCAGTTCCAAACACCATATATCTAACTTCGTTGTCATCTTTAATTCACACCCACTCACGCCGTATATTTTCATCTGCAATCGAGAAGTATGAAACAAGTCTTTCAATACTTCTAATTATTTCACAATCTGGAATGTCTCCTTCTAACCAGGGATTCAAATTTCTTTGTAGTTGCTTAAACTTTGGATGTTCCAAAACAACATCCTTATCGGAGGCTTGGTTCTTGAGAAAATGACATGCCCATATCATCTAAGGTAAATGATTCACTCTGCTAAATTTGTAAGAAACAATGGTGTTGCACCCCAAAATTTGCCCTCACAATACAAGACTTTGTGTTCCAAGAAGGTTCACAAGGTTCACAAAATTCACAATTGGTCAGAAGAGTTGACAATTCCCTCAGACAATGCACCTCCTAAGCAGTGCATCCAAAACTAGGGTTTTGACTTTAATCAGGCTAAATGGACTTCCAAGACTTCAAGTGAGCTTCATAACATCTTATATGTGTATAAGAACCCCCATGTCAAGTTTCAAGACTTTTCTCAAAAGTTTGCTCAGTCAGATGATCAGATAAGTCAAAAGCAGTCAATGCAGTTAAAAGGTCAAACTGAGGTCAACTGTGGTCAAACCAAAGTCAAACTTCATGATTTTTTTTTTGCCAACATCAAAGAGAGGTTGGGTGAGAAATATTATCATAATAACTGTAATACCCCAAATTTTGCCCTAAGATTTGTCGTCGCATTTCATTGCATTTAATCAATTACTAACAAATTTGTGTAGTCGTTTGACTTTTTGCAGGTAAATATCATATGACATGCATTTTTTTTTCTAAAAAGTAAAAATGGCACAATTGGCAGGAGGACATGTGTAAGGAGTTATGAGTGTGAGAGGTTGAGAGTTCGAATCTCACCTTTGTCATTTTTTTTGTTTTTTATTATTTTTACTCTAAATTTTTCTATCTTTCATTAAAAAAATAACAAAAATAGTTTTTTATTATTATTTAATTATTATTTTCGTATTTTAATTAAATCATTTTTTAAAATATTATTTTTTTCACTTTTTTCTAAATTATTCATAAAAATATCCAAAAAATCATAAAATAAAAAAATATTGAAAAAATTTTTGTTCTTTTTATAATATTTTTTATTTTAGGAATCAATAGGATTATTAGTTTTTATTTTAAGTTTATTTTAATTATTTTAAATTATTTAAATTTTATTTTTTCTTAACTAATTATTTAGTTTGGGCTTTAAAATGGGCTTTAGGGACATTATTGACAATTTGGTGTTAACCCTAATTTGTTCCCTATATATACATGTGTTGCCTTGTTGGAAAAAAAGGGGAGAGAATGAAAAAAACCTAAGAGGAGTGAGTGCCGTTTGCCGTTATTTAGTTTTCTTCTTCATCCATTACTATTGTTTCTTTTTCTTCATCGTTTACCGTTATTTCTTTTCCTTCATCTATTACTGTTGTTTCTTTTTCTTCATCTTTTACCGTTATTTCTTTTTCTTCATCTATTACCGTTATTTCTTTTTCTTTATCTATTACTGTTACGTTTATATATATATAATTTTTAAATTGTTAGAGTTTATATATATATATATATATAAGATTTTTGATCGAATTATGTCGATACGATGTTTGCACATTTGTGTGCATGACGCGTGACATTTGTGTTAGTTCGATCTGGTTGCGATGATCGCATTTTTGTGTGAGCAATAATACTATTTTTTGCTTAATTTCTTTTTCTTTGCGATAAATTTTGTTTCGTCCGATTTAGATCTGGTTGCGATGAGCGCATTTCTGCGTTAGCAACATTGTTGGGTTATTTGGCACATTTAAAATTCATTATTGCTTTATTATTATTATTATTATTATTATTATTATTATTATTATTATTATTATTATTAGTATTATTATTATCATTATTTATTATTATTATCATTATTATCATTATTATTACCATTATTATTATTATTGTTATCATTAATTTATTAAAACTTGTTATAATATAAAAACCTGTTTTTTAAAATAAATAACATTAACATCTTTTCCAAATTAATATGAAAACCTATTATTTTTAAGAAAAACATTTTTTTTAGATAAATTTAAAATAATAACTAAAATCTTTTTTTTTAAAATAATAACTAGAACCGTTATTTATTTTATTTTATTATTGTTCAATTCAAATTTCATTATCATATTGTATCTGCTCCTCTCATGTAACCTCGCGAACTTAACAATCGCTCTTTAAATTCTGCCTTTAAATTTCTGCTTGCATGGTTTAAATTATGACATTATCTCTCTGTTTGCATGATTCAATTATCTCACGCGTTTACTATTATTTCTGTCACATTGCACACATCCGAAGGTTAGGTCTAACTGTTTGGCCGCCGCGCCAATAGTCCGTAAAACTTCACACATTCAATTTCAAATCCTCAAAACTACAAACTACAAACCCTAATTTTCACAAATGCCTCGCCGCAGGCAAAATTACAATTTTACCTTTAGCATTAGGTCAAAGAGCCGCCGCGCTCATTTTAGGGTTTCCCGCCGTGGAATCCCTAATTTAACCCTAATTACAACTTAACATTTCAACGTAGAGATTTGGAGTTTCTACACTCCACGTAAGCGTGTCCTTAAGATGCGTTTATTCCCCTTGAGACCTTGACCACAGTCAAGAAGTTTCTAACCTCCCTATTGAGGGGAACTACGATTACTCTGATTCCACTCCCGTAAGGATACGTAGGCACAAGATGCGATGTCTTGCCGAGTAAACTTAGAATTAACCCCCTTTATTATTTATTATTGCTTATTTATATTTTATTTATCTTTGCTATTTAATTATTTTGCTTATTATTTTGTAATTGTTTCTTGGATGTAAAGTTGTTTAATTATTTAATTATTATTATGGTTAGTAATTAGGGAGTGTAACAACATGTATGTAATATTAAAATAAATTTAGATCACTTTTAAATAAAGATAATTAAAATAAACACGTCACACACGTAAGTCGATTTTAATCGCCGTCTCGCTTCCTAAGGATATCCCTCAAGTTGCCTACGAATAATGGTTAAGTGGGGTGTATAAAGCAAGTCCCTCAAATAAAAAAATCATCAAAGTCCCTTATGGTTGCCTTTACGAATCAAGTCCCTTTCGAAAAATGATGATGGTCCCTTATATGTGCTTATTACATCCCACAATGGCCTTCAAAGTCAAATTGTCCCTCACATGTCCCTTAACATCCAAAGTAAGGACTACCTACTCCATTATAGTAGGGATAGTCTTACTAAGGAAAGGATAAAGAATAAGAAAGACCTTAAAACATTAGGGTAGGCTACTCCTAGATACTTGCTCACTTCAAAACTTTTTCACACTTAAACAAATTTCCAACAAAATTTTCAAACAAGTTTTTTTCACATCCATACACGGATTATTATTAAACTATTCTGAAATTTTTTTTTATTCACACACTACACTTTCAAAACAATTCAAAAGTGAGCTTAAGTACCTAAGAGCCCATGGATAACCATGGATGAAAAGGGTGCTAACACCTTCCCTTTTCATAACCTACCCCCCGGACCCAAAATATTCTCTAAGGTCTTTCCTGTTCTTTTATAACCTTTCCTTATGGATAAAATAAAAGTCGGTGGCGACTCTTGCTATCCGCAACATTGTTTAAAGTCAGTTCTCCCACCGTGTTACAGAACTGGCGACTCTGCTGGGGATTTATTTAAGAGGGGTACCCTTAGGAATTAAGATCACTTTAAATTGTTTGCCTTGTTTGCTTTATTATTATATTGTTGGGGTGCTCTTATGTGTGAAAGGTCCTAACCCGGATCTAGTGTACCTTAGGTAAATGGCAATAGACCAAGGAAACTGTACGACGTATATCGATACGGTTGATCTGGTGGCCATAGTTAGTGCGACTTCTTGGTTGGTGCTTATATTCCTTAAGTCAAGTTGAGGATAATATTGAGGCTGCCATATGTTGTCAATGCACTAACTGACTTTTAGAACCCTAGTTAACTCATCTTGGCCTTTAGAAAGTAGTGAGGTAACCGGCTTTGGTGCAGACTGAAGTTGGTTGACACTCGATGCTACGCTCATTGAGATCTTAAACTTGGAGGGTTTTGGTTGGCAAGTAAGTTGCCTTCTGATCAACCACCCTTGTGAAGGATCAATGATATTGAGATCCCTTAGAACCTGGTTACTTTTGTAGGACAGGATGAACCATCTAACTTCAGGGGAGGGTACTTGCCTTTGAACCTCATGCAAGCCTTTAAACCTAGGGCTATGGTGTGACTTGTTTGTGTGTGCCACATGTTTGTGATTGAGCATGACATCATGACATCATCATGCATCATAAGCATATCATTTTCCCTAACCATTTCAAGGACCAAAGGATTTATCTTTGTTCTTTGTTGCAGGTCATGGCTTCTGCTCGTAGAAACACCATCAGGATCAACTTTGTAGGGATACCTCCCAAGCTCAAAGAGTTGGTTTCCCAAGTGTCTGATCATTCCCAGTTCGTCCAGAGACATGGTCACCTATTGGATCTAGTCACTTCAGGGTTCAGTGAAGACATGATGAGTGTGCTGTTTCAGTTCTTTGACCCTAAGCACCATTGCTTTACATTTCCTGATTATCAACTGGTTCCAACCATGGAGGAGTTCTCTAAACTTCTGGGTATACCTGTTCTTGATCAGAAGCCATTCACAGGCTTAGAGAAGGAGCTTAAACCAGAAGTTATTGCTGCAGCTCTACATCTGAAGAAGTCTGACATTGTTCTAGAGACGAGAAGTGGAGTTAAAGGTATTCTTGCCAAGGTATTA